CCTGCGTCCCCATCAGTCAGCAATGGAAACCTGCGTCCCCATCAGTCAGCAATGGAAACCTGCGTTCCCATCCGTCAGCAACGGAAATCTGCGTCCCCATCAGTCAGCATTGGAAACCTGCGTCCCCATCAGTCAGCAATGGAAACCTGCGTCCCCATCAGTCAGCAACGGAAACCTGCGTCCCCATCAGTCAGCAACGGAAATCTGCGTTCCCATCAGTCAGCAACGGAAATCTGCGTCCCCATCAGTCAGCAATGGAAACCTGCGTCCCCATCAGTCAGCAATGGAAACCTGCGTCCCCATCAGTCAGCAATGGCGAGCGCGCCACGCACCTGGCCGAAGGAGCCCTTGCCGATGAGCGAGTCGATCTCGTAGCGGTCGAGGAACTTCTCGCCGTGCTTGACGATGTAGTCGTGGTTGTCGTCGTCGAAGCCGTCGTTGTACAGCTTGCGCTCCTTCTTGTGCGACGAGTCCTCACCTTGCGGCTGCTGCGCTCGCCGCTTCTTCTTCGCGTAGTACACCTGCGCACCGCACAGCGCGCGCGTCGTGAGTCGCGTATGCCAGGAAGCAGAGGCAGGCAAGTACGTGAGCAAGTGAAGGGAGTAGAGTATGTGAGCGACAAGGGGGAGGCAAGTAGGTGAACAAGTTGACTGATAAGTGGGGGAGCAAGCAGAGGGTGGTACGTAGGTTGGCGACGAAGTAGAGGCAAGCAGGCGTGGAAGTAGGTGAGGAAAGAAGAGAGAGAGAGCAGGAAGTGGGGGTGGTGCTAGATGAAATAGGGGAGGTGAAGAAGTGAAATGGTGGGTTAATTACAATGTTAAATATTTCACAATGAAACTGTCATTATGCTATCTTGAATATTATCAAGATTTGACTGATTGATTAAAATGAGAAAAAAACATGTTTCGTTATAATCACAGGGTTAAATATATCAGTATAAACCGAAATTATGCCAACTTCCATATTATCCATAATTGCTTAGTGTTTCCAGGCACGTCAACTGCTCAGGTCTTTAGCCCCTTAATACTAATCGCATTTTCTTGGTCACAGGAGGTGGGGGTGATTTCCCGCCTCTGAATGGTGAGATCAAGCGCTGACCTACACATCTGCAGGAACCTCCCACCAGCTGGGCATCGCCCTGGCGGGCCACGCTCTACGCATCCGACTCGTCTCCTAACAAGTGTGGGAGTGTAGTGTGAGTAAAAAATGGTTGAGGATACACGAATGAGAAAAGAGAGATCGCATGCGGTCCGTGCTCCTGATCCGGCATTCGACTGGTGCTGGTTTCGGTGAAACCTCGCTCAACTACCGCTCAGAGCCGCCGACACCTAGAATTCTGAATTCAACCTAGCAATCTATACTGCAATTTTTCCAACTCTGCTCCTAGCAGGTACCAGGCGTTGACGGTTACATCCAATCGAGTGCTTGATCGTGACCATAATGACGTCACTATTGTGACGTTCAAGCTCCCGATTGGATGAAACTATCAACAGCTCATACCTGCCAGGGTCATAGTTGGAAAAATCGCAATATACCCTTAGGACCTCCAGATCAGAGGCACTGCAAATACATCAATTGATGCGCTGAGCCACTCAGTCGGTCGTATTATCAACAATTTGTTTACACTACATAGATAGTTTAAGAACTTGACAGGTGGCATGAAAACAGCAAGTCATCTTGTAAAAACAATAGAGCAACTGAGTAATAAATCACTGATCGGGAAGATAAGATGTGGTCACTGCAAGTGAATGTGTGATTAAGCTTCACACTTATCAGAAGATACATCCGCCACCCCCCGTCGGTGCACATCTACGAGTAGACAGCAGAATCCGAAAAGCAGAAGAACATCTACGAGTAGACAGCAGAACCCGAAAAGCAAAACAGTACCCTGGGGAGGTATTCGGCATCATTGTTGTGGCTATGTATAACACTTCAGGTGCGACGAGCACAAACCGAAACGAAGAATGTAAATTAGTTGCTGTCGTAGAAGCAAGCGATGACTTCACTGGTTCAATTCATCTAAGAATAATGGGACTTTTCCTTATTTCATAAAATCATCGGTTTCGTTCAATAATTTTTTTGTTAATCGAAGGTAAAATTCGTTCATTTGTATATAAGTTTTATTGAATGTGTTTAATTATAATTATTCATGTATGCAGTATCCAGATTCCTTAATCATTTGAAAAAATCCTCAGATGACCTCTCGTTTTGCTTTTGAATATAAATTTTGCAAAATAAAACGCGCACGTTTTTTTGACCTCTTTCGGAAACAGTTTCTTCAATTAATTATTCCCTAAGATGTCGATTATAAAAAGATTTTTTCACGTGGGGCACAAGGGATGAGTCAAAATCGTACTTGATTTGCCGTTTTAAAGGGAGCGATATTCCTAGTTATAAAATTTTGCCAAAAAGTTTGTTGCTGCCTGTATTTGTACTTAACTAGTGGACCCAGAAATTCTTCGCTATTGCAATGTATTACACATCACCCGCTTCTGATCACGTGATTGATAATCACGTTTTACTCTACGCTATGTAAAAAGTAGAATAGATGAAAGACTTTCTCGCAAGTATGGGTCTGTTATACGTCCTGGTTTGGACTTCTTATTGTTGAAACGTTCTCCCTCAAATTTAGGCATGCGTACGCTACGACACTATCTTGGAAAAAAATTATTTCCTTGTCCGAGATTCAAGTAATAATTCCGGTATTTCACAATCGCGGGGGCAAAATATTTTTATGCAGTGGAGACGCGCTTAATCCTTGCGGCCGGTTGCGTACACTTCAGGGGCGCTTGAGACTGTCATCAACAACTCCCTCGCATGTCCAATTTATTCAAACGACTCTTTAAACACTCTCATTATAAATAAGAAAAATTGTGTGAAAATTTCAGCGAAATCGATCGAGTAGTTTTTGCGTCTACGGGCGACACATACGCACATTCCCTTTTATTTATAAATAGATATAAGAACCTGTGAAGAGATTTCAGAGATCAAGATAATGTTTTCCATGCGTCACAGTTATTTGACATTCATCAAATAAAAAGTTAACATTATACTAAAAATGTTACTACATTTTTTAGGATCTTTAACATACACTGAGAGCCAGGGCTCTTTCGTATTCGAGTAATTTGCGTAGAAATTACATTAAGGGGCAGATCCAGGGACGAATTTAGGGAGGGAAAATCCAAAATATTTCAGTCGAAGGTGTCATATTACAATTCTGTAAAATGCCACAGGCTACTCTCAGCTCATGCTGCGATACTATTTTATTCGTTTTCATGATTATCCGACATTTTTTCCTTAAACGTTTAGTTACAACAACAACAACAACAATAATAATAATAATAATAAAACTGAACGATTTTTATTGAAAAATTACTGAAAAAAATTCAGGGGGTAGGGTTTCCCCTCATCCCTCCCCCCGTGGGTTCGAGCCTATTGCATTTGATAATAGCGAGTACTGTCCCTTTACACGGAGCCTGCTACTGTCATATAAGATTGAAATTGTACAGTGGAGCAACCGAGAGGTGTGAAACCCCCCTCCTGTCGACACATTTTCACATAGCACGTACGTTTTACTAATCATGGACAGTAACGAAAGTTATCCAATAGATTACGTTATAATAACGATAAACCAACCAACGAAAATAAATTTTAAATTCAGCGTTCATGAAAAATGCTTTTATACATGAAGTCGACTCACTCCCCTGCTAAGAAACTCCTGTTTTACCGAACTTACATCATACGATATTGTCGACCTGTGCGAGGATAATTCGAATGAATGCACGTGCACATCTTGCGCACGTTCTGTCGCGCACCCACTTGGCTCGCTGGGTTAGGATTAGCACGGGGGGGGGGGAGTTGCGGTTTTGTTGTATTGCTAACTAAACAAACTACATAGTTAGTCTACCGATACACGGAAGTTTTCTATAACTCAGCAAAAATATCTATTTTCAAATGATGTTCACCTAGTTGTGTTGGCGCTTTTATTCATCATTCAATTCAGTCTAGTGAAAGGCCGGGGTAGGATTCTCTGGCTCTCAAGACAACCTGCGCAATTTTACTTCTTCCCCGTATGTCACGTTCAGTTTTGAGTTTTTGACGAAAATAAAGCATGCCAGTCAGTGTGGATCGAGAGCTCGCAACAAATGACGCCCTAAATGTGAGGAAGGCGGGCGGGCGTGTGTTGGCTGCCCATCGCCCGCGAGTGGCCCGGAAAACGCAGGAAGGGTCACCCTTCACAAGGGCGCCTCGCCCCGCCCGCTAGCCCCCGAGCGCCTCTTTAGGGGCCGCGGCGCGGACGCAACCCAGCCCGCCCCCGCCGGCCCTGCACCCTCCGCCACAGCTGAAGCCCGCCTCCGCCTCCGCCGCCGAAATCGATAACGGCGGCCGACAGCGGCCACGCTAGTTCGTCCGTCTACCGCCAGGCTGCATGGCGATCGCCGCCCCGCCGCCGGTCACAGTGGACCAGTGCGCGACAGGTCGGGGGAAACGACACAGCAGGCGTTGACGACCGAAACACAGTAAACCCTCGTTAACACGAAATCCAAGGCTCTGAAATAACCGATGTTCTTGTTATACAAATTCGTGTTATCCTATATCCTCAATACTATGTTTCTTGGGCGAGACCAAATTTGGTTTGTTCGACGACGAATTTCATGTAAGCGAGAGTGTGCTAACGAGGTTTTACTGTAGTTTATAACGTTAAGCTTTATTGCACGAGTGCACGTTTTGAAAGCGAGCGGCGTTGGGAGCGGGTTTTAAAATGGGTACGAATGCTATAAAGCAACGTTACAAAAGAGGTGCGTGCGTTATTTTTTATAAGAGAATCAAAGTTAATTTTCGGACAAATTTATTACGTCACGGGTACTTGAAATCTCGTGCAAACAAACTGAGGAGGGTTGTTCCGTTCACCGCAACCTCTCCACAATTCTCTAGCTGCGATTGGCTGAAAGTGTGATATAATTATTCGTGCCATAAACGGCAAACATATCGCACTCTCTGCCACAAGATGTCATTTCATGAACGATTTCTTGAAACGAAAAAGGTCGTCTGTAATTTTTAAATTCACAAAACATGTTTACAGTGACTACTTCAGTAATGGTATAATCACAAATATTTAAGAAAATTTGATGTGATGAGTAGCGGGCGAATTCTTATGCCTTGTCAGATTTCTCGTCTGATTATTATTAAGCTTCTAAAATGATGAACCTTATTCTTAGCAACCCAATGGAAATAATGTGGTATTTATTGCTCATGTATATTTTGAATATGTATATTTTGGCGTTGAAACGTTAAACTAGGAAATTTGTGTGTGTTGGGGAGGGGGGTCATGGTCAGAAGCTTGGCATTTTATACTTACAAAACAAATAATTAGAACTTAGAACAATTAGAACACGCTGTGTTTATACAAAATGAGTAGCGTCTAATCAGGTTTACTTAAAAAATACATTTTTTCTTGGATATCATATTGTAGATTTTAAGCACAAGAATTTTTAAGTAGCAATGTGCCAGGTTTTCCGCT